GGGGGGGGGCCCGCGAATGTGTCCACCGGAGCGGGGTGGGGGTGTTCCTGGCCGAGGGGCGCCGCCTTGTGCCCGCGACTCGGCCCCTCCGCAGCCCGCACCTGCAGGGCTGGATTGGGGCCAGGCCACATCCCCAGTTCAGCGCTGAGCCATGCCCCCCACACCCGGGTTGTAGTCGTGCCATGACCCCGTTCCCGCCCCGCCCCTCCGGGCCCAGTCAGAGCTGGGCTTCCCCCGACCTCCCCACGCGGCCAGACCCTCCCTCCCCGCCGTGCACAATGGACCCAGCCCACACCTGGACTGAGCACCATCCATCTGGCCCCAGGTAGGAAAATGTTGGGCACTGTGGAACTAAACTCTTCGTAAAACTGCCGTCAACCCGATGCACCGCAAAACTAGGAAGAGTGTTTTGCGTTTGAAAGCTTGTCTAACTATCCCAGCTATGCTGTTGGTCCAATAAAGGATATCCTTGCCTCTCCCATTAAAAAATGCATCTTAACCATAAAGCTCCTCGCTGCTTTTCTACATGCACAGGTTTTACTGTTTTAGCTCTGCTTGGGGCAAGGCAGCTCTTTCACTTCGTAGCTGTGCTAGCTCAGCACAAAAAGGAGTGGGGTTGGGAACCAGGGCTCCTTGGCACTGAAAATACAAAGCACGTTCCTTCCTCTTCCCCCTATATCTCACCCGAAGACAAGACCTTAATCTTGTGAAGTATTGGAGGAATGCTGTCAATTCAAGCTGTATATATCAATAGTATTTAAAAAATAATTTCTAGGAAGTCCAGTGACATTTGAATTTCCTTACAAATATTTATTTCTACTTGCATTGATTGGTTGAAAGACCAGTGCAAACGGGGAGTGCTGTTTCAACATTCACAAGTAGTAAAAATGAACCTGAGCCAGGTGGTATAAACTTAAAGTGAGCAAACTAAAATGATGCAGAAAAGGAGTAGGTATTACTGTTTTGCAGGTTGTTCAGTCATAATAATAATGTTACAACTTAATGCTGTAACAACATTAAGTAAATATTTTTTTAGTCAGCTGTGACCCAAGTTAAAAGAGAATTCTAGTTTTTTTCCTATCATTGTAAATAATAGGTTGCTTGGTAGCTGTTGAAAACTGCTGCTTTGTAAGAAATGGTGGGTAACATGCACAGTTTGGTTATGTGCTTTCATGCGTGACATGAGTTTTGTCTGGGTGCTCTTTATCATTATAAATCTAAGGTAGTATTGATTGATTATGTTACTTAGGCCCCAGTCCTTAGTTTATTGCTGTATCTTATGGAACAGGAAGGCTGATGGGGAAATCACCCAAGTTTCTTGCACCATTTTTGTTTTGCTTATCTTTACATAGTTGTATCTAGTGTTTTTTTGATTGCTTCATTTTACTGTGAATGACTGTTGGTTATGGAAAAAGTTATCTATTTAAAATAAATTATTACAAATCTATGATCGGCTACTGAATTAATCAGCTTTTTGAACTTCATGGTGATGAATTTTTGTAAGTGTAATTTTAGGCTTTTAAAATCTTCCTTTAACAATTGCTGTTGTGTTTTTTGCTGACCAGTTTGGTCTCCCATCTTCAGAAAATGTTGTTTTGGTCCTTTTATCCCATTCCCCATTTGATTGAGTCCCATTAATAGGTTTTGTGTTTCTAAACTTCTTAAAAAAGAATACTTAAGACTTCTTATGGAAAGAGGCAAATTTATAAACAAAAATCATGGTTAAGTTTTGCTAGGGTTCTGCTTCCAAAGCTGCAGAACTCAGAATTTAATCTAAATGGAAGTAAAGCTTTAGAATTGCTAAGAGATATAGACAGTCTCAATATCCAATGAATAATTCTTCCATATTGGTTTGGAGAAAGTAATTCTTTCAAAGAGCTTTCTTTTCAAATTAAAGCTAAGCATGCACTTAACTCCCCCCCTCCCCCCCAACAGTGTGGAGATAGATGAGTGTTTAGTATTTTTTTTAGCTTTTATTTCAGTAAAATTGTAACAAATGTTGATTTAAAATACATTCTGTGTGTATGTGTATATACATACCACAAGTGAGGTGGTATATACAGTAATTGAAATGTTTTCAAGGTATACTGATAAGTTACAGTATTTGACACTTGTAAAAATTGCAATATCATACTAATATATTTTCTTTTTTTGTAGCATGCTCTGATTTCTCCAACAAATCCTGTGAAGAATGTCTAAGAAATGTTTCGGTAAGTTTTAGCATCCTTTTTGGAGAGAGACTCTGGTGGTGATTACATGTAGCAAGATAGTATTGAAATGTCATATTTACAATAAAATAGTGACTACGCAGGATGGGCTAAAAGAGAGTGGAAAGGAATGTGTGAAACAATGCAAATCTTTAGAAAGGGCTCTGTGTTTATGCAGCTAATGGAAATTAGGAATTGTATATTGGACGAGTGGTGCTGAAGCCATGATGGTTCAGAAACATGAAAGAAGTATGTTTTCAAATGGTAGCTATTCAAAGATACCATTCCTAACAACTGACATGGGAGATTTGGTTTAAATCAAATTGATTTAAACCATGATTTAAATCATTAGTCAGGAAGCCTTGATTTATTCATTCATTGTTTTCTGCAAAAAATGAATTCTTGTTGTTTGATATAGCCTAAATACATATTATTCACAACTTAGATAGATGTAGGTTTAATTTCTAGAAGGTACATCCTGTATATTTTAAAGCAATGATTTATTTTGATATTTTTTCAGATTAATTTTGCAGCTACATCAGAGAACTGAAATATGACATTTAAATTGTTTTATTTAACTAAAACAAGCTTATGTATTTTGGATATTTTTCTTCAACAACAAACAGGTATAATTATTTTTTACAAAACAAGCAATATATATTTTTGAATTTTTAACTATTTTAGTTATGTGAAATGTGTTTTTAACAAAAATCAAATAGATTATTTTAGCCAGGTCAACATGAGAAACTTAAAATACTGGGTTAACTCAGGCTTCACCTTCCTTTTCCTATTTAGAATCATAGAAAGTTAGGGTTGGAAGGGACCTCAAAGGTTATCTAGTCCAACCCCCAGCTCACAGCAGGGCCATCCCCAAATAGATTATCCCAGCCAAAGCTTTGTCTATCCAGGTTTTGAAACCCCCCCAAGGCTGGAGCTTCTACCACTGTTTCAGTGTTTTACTACCCTCCTAGTGAGAAAATTCTTCCTAATATCTAACTTAAACTTCCCTTGCTGCAACTTGAGACCGTTGCTCCTTGTTCTGCCATCTCCTCTTCTCAAGACTAAATAAGATCAGTTCTGTCAGTCTTTCTTCAGAAGTTGTGTCCCAGCTCCCTCACCGTTTTTGTTGCTCTCCGTTATGTTCTCTCCAATTTGTCCACATCCTTTTTGTAGTGGGGGGGCCCAAAACTGAACGCAGTACTCCAGATGTGGCCTTATCAGCACTGAATACAGAAGATTAATCACTTCCCGTGACCTGCTGACAGCACACCTACCAATGGAGCCCAGTATGCCATTAACCTTCTTGGCAACAAGGGCATACTGCTGCCTCTTATTCAGTTTATGGTTCACTGTAACCCCCAGGTCCTTTCTGCAGAGTTGCTGCCCAGCCAGTCAGCCCCAGCCTGTAGTGGGGATGGGATTGTTCCATCCTAGGTGCAGGACTTTGCACTTGTCCTTGTTAAACCTCTTTAGATTCCTTTTGGATCAACCCTCCAATTTGTCTAGGTCACTCTGAATCCTAGTCCTATTCCCTAGCATATCTACTAGTCCCCCCACTTGGTGTCATCTGCAGACTTGCTGAGGGTGTACTCTATGCCATCTTCCAGGTCATTGATGAAGACATTGAACAAAACCAGCCCCAGAACTGACCCTTGGGGCACTCCACATGTGATACTGCCAGCTAGACATTGAGCCACTGCCAAGTAGACATTGAGCCATTGATTACTACTCTCTGAGCCTGATGTTCCAGCCAGTTTTCTGTCCACCTTCCAGTCCATTCATCCAGCCCATTTAATTCATATACTAAAACCGAAAGGGCAAGCATTCCTGTTTTTCTCAGTTCCCAACCAATTTCTCAATTTAGAATGAATTAATCCAAAGGAAGAAAATACTTTTTCTATACCTTCAGAAGGGGCTACTGCTGTTTAAAAGCTGGATTATCACTTCAGTAGTCTCTGATGGATTCAGGTGCTTAAGTAACTTCCTCCAGTTTACTGGTGTGACTTTCTTTAAAACCTCATCAGCAAACATATACAGTAAACTGTCTGGTAACTGGCACCTTACAAGCTGGCATGCTCTGTTAACCGGCATGCTGGCTTGTAAGGAAAAGTGAAACCGGAAGTGCTCACCGTGGCAATTCCAGTTTCTCCGAGCCCCCACGGCCCAGGGCAAAGCAGCCTGCTCTGCTGAGCCCCCATGGCCCAGGGGCATAATGGGCTGTGTGGGGCCTGCCTCCCTGTCCCATGGGGCCTGCAGGAGGGGCAGCAATGCGGTGGGAGGGGCGGTGGGATGCCCCAGACACAGTGGGAGAAGCAGCAGCTGGGGCCACTCAGCCAGCATATTTTGTTATCTGGCATCCCCCATTCCCAGAGCTTTTACTGTATTTCTTGAATGGTTTACCCTTAGCCCTGGAATTTATTGTAGTTGGTATTATGGAGGGATGATTGCTGGATGCCCATGTCATAGTCAACTCCTCTTCTTCAGCAGTTAAGTATTGATCCTGGTATCATGTATTGAGACTATTGGAAAGAAAATGAGCTGGAGGTAGTGCTTGATCCATTCATTTTTAAAATACCTATAATTTAACTCTGTCACTGTGTATTTCTCTTTTCAAGGTCTCACTTGGTTCCTTCCAAATTTCAACAGCATCAGCAATACAAGCAATTTCCTTGCATTTTGTTTAAGGCTACAGAAATAGGTTGCAGGATAGCAGCATACATTCTACATTTCTCTTTAGCCCAGTGTTGAGAACTTTGGCTGACAGCTTCATCTATTTTGTCACAGTTTTGCTCACAAATTGCTTTCAGATTAGGCCAGTTCTCAATACATTGCTCAAAACAGTCCACTTCTGAATTCCACCGCACATCTTGTGGGATTGTTAGTTTGGTTGCTCCTGCTCTCCTCAGAGCAACTGCTGCAAAGTGGTTGTTACGGAAGTATTTTGCAATTTCAACAACATTGGCCTTTATTTCCGGAGCACTGAAGTCTTTGGCTAAGAGGTGCAACAAAGGTTGGGGCTGTCTTGTCTTCTAGATTTCTTCTCTTTGATACATTTGCAGCATTGTCTGTGACAGCTGTGTACTAGACATCTGAATTGTTTTCAGTTTGTTATAGCTTTTACTGCTGCTGCTTGTAAGTATTCCATTGTGTGTGCATTTCCTGATGTATCAATTGTTTCTGTAAGGTAGACAGTCCCTTCTTTTGTTGTCAAACAAGCACATATTACTGGATCGTTGTGGACATTGCTCCACCTATCAAGACTCAGGTTAACAATTTCTTCCTCTAGACTTTTTGCGCACTCTTCAATTTCTTTCTCATACACTTTATCTAGCAGTATTGCCTCATACTATATCATTAGAAGTTATAATCCCTATTCCGTGATATCTTTGATCTTTAACATATCTTAAATTTAAAACTATATGGGTTTATTTTTTTAAAGCATCTTAAAAATTAAAAAATATGATTAAATAAAAAACCTGTTTTGTTTTTTTAAAAGGTGATTAAATAAATATGATTTACATTTTTTTAAAAATAATTGATTTTTATTCACCCTGAAAACCGAGTGCCAGGATAGATCAGTCATTTTTGGTCTCTTTTTAATAAAACTAATAATCCTCTGTTTTTTTCCTGTACCACTATAGAAGTTTGTCTAGTGCTCAAAATGACAAATTTTAAAGCAAGATGAAATATGCTGGTTTTTGCTGTGTTAGTAGTCGCTCACTGTGTGTTACTACATTCTGCTACCTACCTAAGTGAGCACAACAATAAATAAAGGTGCTCATCATCTTTAAAACATGAGAAAGTAGATATGAGTTGCCAAAGATGAGCTAGTGAATGCTGATGAATTCATTATCACTGACTTGCCTCTACAGGCAGCTTTCATAGTGTAGCTGTAGCTTGTAAGCACTAACAAACTGGCATGTTGATAGGTGTATTTCTGATGATACTTGCACACAACTTTCATCAACACCAATGAGTTATGCACTCACACTGAGAAGGGAATAAATCCTTGGGGGAAGGGTGCTGAAGACACCAGGAAAAATATAGGCAAGCTACGTTCAGAATATGTCAAACCATTGACAACACACAGATTTGCTTTGATGATGGAATGATGGATGATTCAGTGAGATGCAGCAATGTCATCTTGCTGACCTTGAAGAGACAAGTATAGATTTGATTTAGCTAATTTGCATGTACGTGGACATAAAATACAAAGATAGGTTACTACTAGAATTTATATGCACAATATAAAAGCATAAGATCATTAAAAATAACTTCTTTTTCACTGTTGAGGTAGAAGAATACCCATGTCATACTGTCTGTAAAATTGTTGGCTGTAGATGACGTGAAATAGAGGCTTCCATTCTCCCTATTCATAAGCGTAGTGGTTGATGGTGACTGGAACAAGAAGTTCTAAAACAATAGATAACAAAAAGAAAGCTACTATTTGACATTCTATATTTAGGTCTGTCAATTGGGTATTTGTTCAGAGAAATTGGTTTTGTAAATTCTCACTCTTAACTATTCCCATCATGATTTATTTTGTTCAGAATTTAGTCTTTGAAGCTTATTACTAAAATCAATTTTGGGTGGAGGGAGGGAAGCAAATTGGCTCTAATTAATTGTCGGGTGATTTTTTTTTTTTAATAGTGATTATAATTATCTGTGTGACAGAGATAGTAGCTTTATGTATGCTGTAACTTTAATTACAAGTAAAGTAGCATTTTGCAGTCAGGAAGCTTAGATTTATTATCATCTATAATAATTATGAGTGTTTATTATCCAAATAGGACCACAATTTCTCATTAATTTCGGTGGGAACCCACAGGGTCTGGTACTAGATCACAGTTTAAATTTGGGTCTTAAAATTCAATGAGGGCCATAGTATGTGATTGCTACCTAAACAAAGCAAAATATTTTCAACTTTTGGTTGCAGTCTGTTGTGAATTTGAGGCCCTATATTAACAGTTTGGTTAGCTTATTATCTAATTAAGAGGAACACAATAAAGCAGTTCCTGGTTTGTCATCAAAAATGAATTACTGGAAGATGTTTTCTTTCCTTTTAACCCATGGACTGATCAGATGCCAGATCTGCTTCTTCCTGTGTGGCTGTATGCATTTGTAGTTACATGAGCAAACTTGAGGAAAGTGGTGTAGTTGACCTTTCTGTGCTGTTACTTAGTCACCAGTAGTTTAGCAGTAGCTCTCGTTATCAGGCAAGCTTATACTAGCCTGACTGTTCCCTATATTAGACAGTTCTGTCTGCATAAGTAGTGATGCTTATTTTGTTGACTGATTTCTCTAACATCTTCAGTTAAAATTGATTCTGTAAGGATATTTATTTGGAAGAAAATTAGGTTATTCTGCCTGCTTAGTTGGTAAAATACCTGTTATTAAAAAAAGGTTCTTTGAAGCAGTCACACACAGATTACGAACTGCTAAAATCAGTATATTGTCTTTTTCTCTTTCAACACCGCTGAGAAAATCATTATCTAGTTAATGCAGATATTCTACATGAGGCTTTCTGCTGTGAAGGGAACCAAATAATATATTGTTTAAAACTAGATAGTTGCTTCTAAAAGCTATTTTCATGGTGCTTCAGTTGCATCATTAGTTTAAGCGTGAAATTTCTTCCTAGCCTATGTCTTTTAAAATGTATCTAGAAATGCCTGCTATTAAAATGTCTAGGTTTATTTCTGCACTAGTTCAGTTGAGTAGTAAAGGGATTCTGAATTAAAATTAGTGTTATTTTCCTAAATAAAAGCTAAGATGAATTGGAATGAAGGAGAGGGTATGTTAATACCTTAACAGAGTTGTAATTATAGCAAACCCTGGAAATTCAGACTTCTGATTAAATTTAAAATGAGAGTCAAATGTTTAAAGCATGGGTGGCCCCAAGCATCGCTGCAGCCTTTGTGTATGGCTTGGGACAGACCAGAGAAGGGACATGTAGCACAGTGGCAGGTAGGGCAGGAAGTAGGAAACAGAGCAGCAGATTAGGCAGGAATCACAGAGCAGGGATCAGCAGATTGGGAAGGGGACTGCAGTGGCACTCACGGAGGGTGCACAGCTACTTTGCACACCTGCCAAAAAGGTTGGCTTCCAGTGCTTTAAGGAGTGCTTTAGTGTTGCCCTAACTGCAAATGTAGTTAGGGCAACAAAGTAACTGCTTTGTCCAGGTAGCATGTAACCCAGATGAAACAGTTTAAAAAAAATGATGTTATTTTTTTCTCTTTGTTTATGGTATTACATGACTAAATTAAAACAATTTGTAACTGTGCTTTTCCATTACTTAATAAGGTTCAATGATCTGTTTGTTTATGTTTGTTTTGAATGTCATTGGTTTGTTGTTGGGATTATTAGACCATTCTCCTGCTATATTTACCCTTAAATTGTTAAACTTGTACTAAACCCTCAGTTGAATAGGATGGGGTTCTTATTTAGCAAGCATCTGTTTTGAAACTAGTAAAATTTTAAATACACAAACTAAGAAAAATCCAGATGACCTGTTGCCATATGAAAAGTATATTAATCTTATTTTCATTTCCTCTTGAGGTCCAAATTCACCAGATAATGCTCTAGCTACTTTACCATATCATGGAATAGCACAAAGCAGTCCACATCCTGGCTGTCTTCCTGACTTCTTTGTTCTCCTGGTTGTGCATATTTCATTTTCCATTCCTGCTTTCTACTACCCCCTTTCTGTTGTACACAGCCCGCTAGTATTCCCTATTTGTCCTTCCTATTTAATGCATCTAATGTAGTGGATAGTTGCTAAATGTTTTTGAAAAATAAACATCATTTTTGTTGTTACTCGTCCTGATGGTAAGTTCCCTTTCCAGCAGAGAAAGGTGAATGTTTCAAGACAGGTGTTTGTGATTCACTGCCCTTGTTCAGAGTGGCTGTGTTCTACCAGTAATTTCAATGACGTCCTCTTGTAGATTGACCATCATCTTGATTGTTTCCAGTGGTAAAAAAATGACAAAGTTGCCCTTAGGAAAGATAGTGCCCCCCATTTTGTCAGGAATCAATCATCTTAACAACTGGTTGGCTTGCTGTGTCTTTGGGATCAAATGGGAGGTTGTGACCATTTTTAAAGAATACATTTTTGTTAATGGTAGCCTGTAGCCTCATGTCTATAAAGAACAGTAAAAGAACAGATAATTGGGGAAATCTCTGTAGCTGATTTCTACATTATCTGAAGAAGTAACTTTAAATGGTTTTGAATAATAGTTAAAAAAAAAAAAACCAAAAAACCCACATACTAATACAATAATTATAATGTACATATAATATATGTAGTATAATATAAATATTTTTTATACATTATTCATAACATGTTATAAGGCTGCTGCACAGGATTTCAGTGAGTTTTAGCTGTATGTTTGGTTTGAAGGTTTTCAAGATTAAAATACGGTAATTTAAAGATTAAAATCATTTTGGGCAAAACCTCAATACAGGGTACTAAACTTTATCTAAAAAAACTACTTTTCACTGAAATTATTAAAATTGTGCTGTACTTGGAGTAAGTGCTGCAGTTCTATGAAGAAGAGAGCATATTATCTCCATAAAACTCAATGGTATTGGGGGTCTTCATTTACAATTAGCTATATGGTAAGTAGGTATAATATTTCTGTATTCTTTATTTTTGCCCAGTGCCTTTGGTGTTACACACACAACACTTGTATGGACTACCCTGTAAGGAGTATTCTTCCATCCTCTTCGCTGTGTCATCTCTCAGCTGCTCGGTGGGGAGTTTGCTGGTGTAGGTATAATTTCACTTTTATTAAGGATATGTGATAAATCATTCTTTAATATTAATATATTCTTATTACAGTCTGAAATCATATTGACTAACAAACAGCTTTATTGATTCAGATGTCTCATACAAAGAATATCATTTTAAATAGTCTGTATTAACAAATCCGATATATAAATACTTTATAAATACATAAACACAAAGGAGGCAGAAGAGCTGATTGAGTCTTGAAACGGGAAGATTTATAACCATAAAAACAATTAGAGCCTGGATCAGCCTTTCCATAAGAATAATGGGAGCAAAAGAAAACTTCCCTTTTAATGCAAAGCTTGATGAGCTTATGGAAGTGATGTAGTTTCTGTAATATGAAGGGACTGGATTTATTAATTTAGTAGATCTCTTCATGGCCTATGTTCACAACCTTTTTATACTTTAGGCTTCCCTCAGAAAATGCCAGCTCTTAGCTTTCGCTTGTTTTTTTTAACTGTGGAAAAATAGTAGAACATTTCTTCTGTTACAATGACTACAATATCAGAATGTTTTTGGTACTTTAGGTTCCCATTTGGAATCTATAGTATAGATGTATAGATTCCTATTTGGAATTTATAATATACCTTCTCTGGGTTTATCTTGCATATCATGTTAGATGTGCAAACACCTACACAACTGTCTGATGTTCACTGTTAGTTTCTTACACAAAATGGTGTACTGGAAAGACATGTTACTTCTTTCATATTTTTTTACTATGGAAGATGTTTGTAATTATTTTAGCTAGCATCTGCATTTTAAAATTAGCTGTAGCTTAAACACAAGAGGAAAACTTCATGGTGGCATACCTTTTTCAGCAAAAAAACAATTGCCAAAAGACGCATTTCCCTGGGAGTTTTTTACAAATTCCCCACTGCAGTGTGCCGTACGGATATATGATCTCATTGAGTTTGTCCCCTTCAGATACAGGAGGGAACTAATTGCCCCATGAGCAGGATACTGTTATTTCTCTCTGCCGCAAATTAAATGAAGCAGCACCACTTATTTTCAGCAGCACTGAACCAAAAATGAACATGAACACTGAAAATGCATTTCACTGGTTGCATGTTCAGCAGCATAATGGTGGAAAGATGGGGAACAAATTGGTTCCAGATAAAACTATCTGGAACCTCACATGCTGATAAATTATTGGCCAATGGTGAAGAAAAGGAGAAAGTGAAAGAAATATCAGTTTGAAATAGTTTGTATTTTTTCCATGAATAATAAGCAAATAAAATAGGTGGGAGAGACAGAAAACTGCAGGTATTATTCTGTTTTATTCTGTTGAGAAAAATTTCTGCGTAGTTGGTTTAACGCACAATTTGGCTCTTTGGTGCTTCACAGGAAGTTGCAAGATAGTGTGTGGTATGTTTTATGACACACTTTATTCAGTTTCTGAATTGTGCGAGAAAATATTTTGGAGCATCATAAGAATAAGGAATATAATATAGTTGCATAGTATTTCAACTCAGTATCTGACTTGGAAATAGAAAGGGAAGTGGAAATATTGAATGATGAAAGATTTTTCCAGTGCTGAAAAATCAGTAAGTTTACTATAGAAGTTTACTCAAAGATTTAAAATATAACTATCTGTTACAAGAATAAGCATGAATGAAAGCTATAATCTTTAGTCCCTTGGATGTATTCCCTAGGATATTTATGTATGTAGTCCAGGATGAAAAAAACTTTTAAAATTGAGCTAAATTGTAGAGCCCATAATGATAAATTAATGTTAATATGGATTACATGGGTATTGTAACTGTCCAAAGCCAAAAATTATAAAACAGGGTGGCTAGCCTGTGGCATGTATTCTACACAAGTGTCACGGGCAGCCTCTCTGTTGGGCATGTGGCAGATTGGGGAGGGGACAGGCAGCAGAGTATCAGATGGGAAAGGATGCAGAAAGATCAGGCGGTGAAAAGGGGTTAGGCCACTAGAGGAGGGTGAGAGACAGGAACTGGGGGACCAAGAGTCCCACAGGTGAGAAGGAGCTGGAGCCTGAGTTACCAGAATCCAGAGGCAGAATTGAAGACACAGGCCAAGTCAGAGTTCTGGGGTCAGGGACCAAGTCTCAAAAGCCAGAGTCCAGTGGCAGAACTAAGTAGTAGGGCTGGGTGAAACAGCACAGTTTCATTTTGAGTTCCGTTTCGACATTTCGAAGGGACAGTTTTTCATTTAGAGTTTTGTTTTGAAACCACTGTTCCATTTTGTTTTGTCAAGTGTTTTACTGTTTCAACACTGTTTTGGCGTTTCACCCATAGGCTATAATGGGGAAGCATGAAACTGCCTATAACTTCGTCATTTCTTGCCTGATTTGGATGAAACATTCAGGGATGGTAGCCACTGCTGAGGCCATGAAGCCTGCCTGCTAAGTTTCAAGGAGATAGGTGCAGGGGTTTCTGGGAAACTGTACCTCAGGCTGCTGACAAGCAAAACTCGTGACATGGGTGACAGGAAGCAGGCCAGTTAAAACAATGCTGCCTTTTATGCTGTTTCTCCATCCCTCTCCCAGAGCAGTGGGATTGAAAGGGACCTCAGGGAAGGATCACAGTTACTGGCCAGCTACATAGTCAATGAGAGCAGTCCTTCCCTCTGCTTCCCTTCTCTTCCCCCTCCTTCTCCTTACTTTCTGTTTTCCTGCAGGCAAGCCTAGCTTGAGCTTTGAAATGTGAAACTTTTCAAAACTTTTAAAATGTGTCAACTGCCCTTGCTTTGTTATGAAGCTGTTTCGAAGCCCTTGGTTTTGTTTTGATTTTACTGTCTTGAGCTCAAAACAGCGTCGAAATGAAACAGCTGGTGAAATTTCATGCAGCCCTAGTAAGTAGGGTCAGAAGCCAGAAAACCAGAGAGCATGAGATCCCTGGAGGTTTACCAATGTGGACTTTTAGACAGAACGATAGCTGGCCTGCAGTTTTCTGCAACAGGTGGACTGACATGTGGAGATTGCTATCCTCAGCAGCTGAACCAGAGGCCGTAACAGTGACCCTCTGGTTCATCACCTGGGGTGGGGCAGCCAGTTAGAGCCTCAGACTCGTTTGGCCAATTAAACAATTAGTCCTGCCTGGGCTGTCTGTTAGGGCCCTTGACACTCGGGGAGCGTGCAGGACAAATTTGTAGCAATCCTGTCCAAAAGGTTGCTTCCCCCTTCCCCTCCACTTGTGTTATAAAACAAGAAATGAAGAGTTAAGGTTACACTTATAAGAAATTTAAAATATACTGAGGTACAGAATTTTACAGTTAAGTAATTCAGGCAACCTCACTTACACTCTCCATAGTCACTGTGCAGTATTGTCACTAATTAAGGCATTTTAGTTGTTTTATTGTTGTGCGAAACTGATTTTTGTAGACACACATTAGATCTGACTTGTATCCAAGTTTTTTTCTCCTTGTATAGTGTTACCGCAGGGCAAAGTTCAGGTGGTTTGGCTACATTAATGGCCATAACATTACTGTAGTATTACTTGTGTAGTAAAACTACAGAAAATCAAAAGAAAATTAAAGACAATGCTATCATGGGATCTTCATAATGATTCATAGATACAAATATTAATCTTGACTTTACAATTTTTTTAAATAAAGTGATTTAGGTGTTTGACCAAACTACCCTGCCTTGAGCAGGGGACTGGACTAGATGATCTTGTGACCTGTCAAGGAAAGTAGTGGATTCTCCATCTATTGATATCTTTAAGTCAAGACTAGATGCCTTAGGCTAAAATATGCCTTTAACAAACACAAGTTACTGAGGTCAAACTGGAACCTCAGTGCATGGAAGACTATCTCTGTAGCATCCCCCAGACTATATTCTTCAAATCTCACCTTGTTGTTTTCTTTCTGTGATGCCTACAAATAGCTCAGCCATGGTTTGGCAGCTAGCGAGCTGTGATCACTATGCTGACTGGTGGTGTTTTATTGTGTCCTTGTTCTACCCTGTCTGGTATAACCGTCAGTCATGCCTGCAGTGCAGCGTTTGCTTTGGCATCTTGCTGTCTGTTATATATTGACTGAGGGTTCTTGTCCTTCATGGAAGTGTTTCCACATGGGCAAAGTAAGTTGGTCATGGCCACATGCTTTATCACCACAGGTCTGCAGCTCTTAGCCAAACTTCATGGTATATACTAGATATAGGAGAGGGAGAGGAGCACTTTTCTTATTCTGGTGTATCGCTAATAGTAGTAGAGTTCTTATTTGAAACTGTATAAAATACTGATCTTTTAACTAAAGTCTACTAATGCTGGAGAGAATGTGGTGCTCAGAAACAAAAGGTGAGATTTGAAAATCACTAAAATGTTTAGTCAGGGAAGAAAAAAGTTGTTATCGAGAAGCTGGAGAAATAATACTATCTTCTCACACATAACCTGTACCTTTTCCCACAAGCCAGCTGGGAAAAATTGGGGTTTGTTTTATATAGGAGAAAAAAGGGCTCTCCACATGTCCAGAAATTTGGCAGAGGGAGCAGATTGTTGGCAGCTTTAATTGCTGCACACTGGCTATGGGAGGTATGGCAATTAAGGCTGCCACCACTCTCTCCCTCTATTCCACCTGCTTCACCACATTTCTAAATCTGTGGGGAGCTTCCTGTCCCCAACTTCATGTTGAATTGGGATGGCATACAGCATTGGTCCACAACCAGACCTGACACTCCAGATCTACACCAACACATGGCTCTAGAGCCAGTGTGCGGTCCTGGACTTGGCATGCAGCCCCAGAGCCAATGCGTAGGGTCAGACCCAACACACAGCACTGGTGTGCCAGATCGGGCTCCACTGCTCCATGTGGCCCCCAGCCCCAGAGACCCCAGATCTCTAGCACTTACCCATACTTCATGGTAAGATTTTTTTTTAATTATTATTCCTTCTTGAGAGCTTTCAAAAATAGGTTGTGTGTTATTTTGGGGGAAGGAGGGTGTTATATGCAAGAAAACATGGTGAATGTTAAAGTCTTCTAAATTGTTTAAATGTTCACTTTACAGTAAACTTTGAGGCCCTTATCATCGCCATAGCCGTAATAGCAGGACTCATCCTAGTGTCCATAATTGCTTGCTGCTGTTACTGCTGCTACTGCAGAAAGTCTACTCGGGGGTAAGTAGTTTTTTTTCCCCCTCCCCCATTAACTTTGGTTATTGTGATAATTCATATTCCCTAATAGTCTGAGTACAACTCAGTCTGGAAGATTAAAAAAAAAAAAAGGAAAAAAGAGAGAGAGAAAATAGTCTTCTGTATCCTTCCGATAATAACATAACATGGAAAAGGTTATTAGTTATATTAATACATTATATTAATTTGGTTGTTACCCAGATTTTTTTTCCAAAAACTTAAGTGAAATTTAAATATTTTTAAAACTTTAATATTTATTTCATCAAACAATGTCATATCTATTAGATAAATTCCAGACTAATATTCTTTTGTTTAGCTGTGCATTAACATTTTGATTTAGTATTATTCATTTGCAATTGGGGAAACAAATTTATGGTATAGCTGCTTTAGTATCTGAAGATTGATAGCATTGCAACATCCTTCACTTATTTTAAATGACTGTCATCTGAAGTTTAAAATGTAAGTTAATTGAAAAAAATCAACCAACACAAAAACAGGCTACCAACACAGGAGAATGCTTGGTTTTGCAGGAAACCATCTGGTGGTTCTTAACTGGGTTATGCAAGATCCTTTTGTGGGTGCAGCACAGGCACCACCATTGTGGTGGCAAGGAGAAACTGCCCCAGGCACCTCAGATTCGTCTAAAGGAGGCAGGAGCACCCAATCCTGCCATCGCCCCATGTTCCTCCTGGAAACAGAGGCATGTGAAGCTGGTGGACCTGGGATCAGGACCTTAAAAGGGTTCAATGAGGCCAGGTGATTCTACTGGCTTTAGGCTTATTTGTTTCTGCACAAGGTGTGCAAGGCAGTTGTACCTGGCTGTGGTGTTGATGGCAAGACCCTGGTTGAGAACCACATGTGTAAGCTGAAGCAGCACAAAAGTGATTCTCAGCAGGGGTAACCCAAATCTAAAAATGTTGAGAACCACTGACTTACACCATTCCCAATACTAGAATGAGCTCTGTATATTATACAACAAAAGTCTGTGCCCTGGAAATCATTCTTTAATATAGGTACACATCCAGCTGAAGTATCTTGAAACTTAAACTAGTATGAATTACAGTACACTTCTATGAAATGCAAGCTTGGATTAATAATTAAAGGTTTGGCAGAACTTAAAACATTTAAGCTTTAAATCCAAAGTACAATTTTACAAGTACATTTTGATATTTAAATGTGTAAAGTGGATTAGCTGGTATGATGTACTTGTAACAGTTCTAGGATCACATTTAAGACCATCTTACTTAAAATAGAGTGTTAAGTATTTAGTTACAAGTAGTATGACAGTGGAAGTAGAATTGCTCGCATTGATGCATTAAGTATTTTTCTTAGAAAGTACAGTATTCAATATCTATTTCTTCAGATAATACTTGATTCTTTTTTTTAAAGGTGCCAGTGAAATGTCTTTGAATAAGAAATAAATATTTAGAGTCTAGAGGTAATGGAACAAGTAACCTGCCAATGTCAGCTCTTGCCACAGCAAAAATGGGTCAGCATGAAAAACAAAATCATATCATTGGGCGGCATTGTTCATAGCATTTAATACTCAGACATCTGATTCTGCTCCAAAGTCTCGTAGCAGGCAGGCGGTAGAATCTCTTAAGAAATCACCTATTCAAGGAGGTGGTATTTTCTTTTCTTCAAGGCTATTTCTTGGCTAGTCTAGCTGTAAAACAATACCTTTAGGAAAAAGTTTGTGAGAACGCCTAACCAACTTGGTCTCAAGCAGATGTCCCTAAGATTCAGTAAGGAAGCGGTATCTAAATTGTTTTAATCCTATTTATATGTCCTTGCTTTTTTTTTTTTTTTTTTTTTAAACCCAGTTTATATTCACAGTGGGGAAACCCAGAAAGCATTGTTTATTGGGACTTCACAACTGTTCTGAATCTTTGAAACTGAGGGTAAAAGAGCAGTCAATCTCAGTTAGGTCTGTTCCTATCCCTAGAGCTATCAAGAGAAATAAGGGACCTACTTTCTACACGTGCAGCAGATTCCATGGTTTTGTACACCAAATAATTCATGTGCATTGCTTTGGTTTCAACTGTTTTGAGCTGTTACTGAATTTGTGCTGTTGCATAATTTTCTTGGTGCTAGTTCCCAAGCTAGTGAAATATGGTCTGTTTCTACTTCCAGGAAGTAGATCTGAATTATGTAGTTTTTTTTGTGTTTGCAGAGCACACCTGCATGTTCTGCCTGGTGGAAACTGAATTACCACACTGAAACTGTCGGTGTAGGGCTTTAGCATTTTAGGTCTATACTGCCAGGCACTGAGGCTTTAAACTTTTTGGAGAAAGAAGGCTTTATGTGCCCTGCATCTGTGTCCCTTGGCTCCAGAGGACCCTACCTTAGAGCATGAAAATCTCTGGGGATTGCTTTTTCAGTATCTCAAGTGAGGTCTTATTTTGAGGAGGTGTCAGTGCTGCTCTGTACTGCCAATCCAAACCAAGGTGGGGAAAGAATATGACAAGCTTTCAATGCCATGGAATTTGACAGGCTTAAAAGATAGAGGAGCACCATCAGCTTGAATCCAGAAAGCAACTTAGGAACTCTAATCCCTATTCTACTGGTGTTCCTCAAGTTCTTTTCCTGGTGCAGATACCTAGAACTCCTAGGTTCTCCTACTTTTTCAGCTGATGGACCTGTCTGGCACTTGCTGCACTTGCAGTCTAGCTCTCTTCATGGTTTTCTTCAATTGTAAAGATTTGGTAAACGAATGCCACATGTCAAATGAACTTGGTCAGTCTGCTAAATTACTTCTAAAGTGCAATGTTTAATTCTAGATTAGTTGACTTATGAGGGGTTTGAAGTAGAAAACTTCCTTCAAGCCACTTCCTTCAAAGTAGTTTGAAGTAGAAAAAAAGGAATGCTTTTTAGTAATAACAGTAGAAGTGATAGTAGTCAATAATACTAGGTATGGTGGTCTTAGAGTGAGATTTAGAAGCTTTTTGGTTTTTATATATTTTGGAGTGAAATTGTCAAGTGAGACACTTATGTTGTTTCTGCCAGTATCTTTGATAAAACAGTTTTGCAAAACAGGTTTGAGGTTTTTGTTGTATGATAGATTTCACCTACCATAGCCGTTCCAAATACAGAATACTTAAATGGGAAAAAAAGAAAATTTTATTTCATGAAAGGGACTGAACTTGTATTGGATAAAACCAAACTGTCCCACTTGCCATTAAAGATTACTTTTTGCTTCTTTTTTTCTCTTCTGTTAATGTGACAGGCCCACACAAACAGTAGAGTGGAAAATTAGGCTCAAACTTACATTAACAAGTACATAATTCCCTGTAATCAAATTTAGTATTTGTGTGTGTTGTTTTTAGGAATAGTAGGTGTAAACATTTGTTGAACTTGTGATTTGCAAGTTGAATGCCCCTAAATGAACAGTTAAATTCAGACTGCCACATTTGGTGTCTGTGCATCTCACCTCCATTAACACATTGTGTGACATGGTATAATTACTCTGTCTTAGCCACTGGGTGTCACTGTTGCTTCACTTAAATGCTGCTGAATGTGCGCATATCTGGTACTATAAGTCTCCAAGTTTCAATTAGCAGATGTTTGATATGAATATTTACAAAGTTTATCACATCTCCAAATGGTACGTTCAGTTTTGTGAGATAAATAACACCTGGAGAAATATGGCGAAAGCACCCATTCACTAAATCTAGATCTCAAAAGAGTTGCAATTGATTATGTCAGAGGTGAAGAGGAGAAAAATAAGATCCTTTGGCATTTTCTTCAGGTATGAGGTCTGGAAAACATTTATTTGATAACAGTATAAATATTCAAGTCTTGCAAAAACAAAAATACTTTAGATTGACAAATTGGTAGCATTTTCCTTTCAGCCCCACAGGACAGACTGTAAGTCTAGCACAGCTGCAGTCTGTACATTAGAGCAGACTAAAGCCTTTTCTTGAAGCAAGTTTAAGAAATGGCCAACACACATATTTTCAAGCATTGAAAAAATTGTCTTCCCTTCTCTGACCTTCTTTTTTCTAATAGACTAAGTGAAGAGGAAGAAAGATTAGCCAGAGATCGAGAAGAGAGACGACTGCAATCTCTCCAACGGTAAGTTTTGAAAATGTAATGAGTAACCACACACTTCTTGCTAATATAATTATTATTCAAGTAGTAACCTTAGCTATAAGGAACTGCAGTGGTCTAATAAGACTATAAATAGTTATTTCTGCAATAGTATGATTCTGAAGATAGATTTCAAAGGCTGGATAGAAGCAGGATATATTTGTTTCCATTTGGCTAATTTGGTGCATCTACTCCCAATTGAAGGCACCATAAAATGGCAAACCAGTCATAAAAATGTTCTGCAAATTATTTAGAACATCTTTATGGCTGGCATCCATGTTATCTTAAATTGTGTGCATGTGTAGCACCCTTGCCACTTATGCTGCATATTTATCGTGGCATAAATATAACGCATGGAGGGGGTTTACTACAACCATTTCCTGATTTTTGTTTCAACTATGCAAACTTTATATAAATGCAGGGAGCTGAAATAGTTATTTAAAAAACAAGTTCCTTGTTTCCTTGTCTGAACTCTTTTTATTCCTGGCTCATCTAAGTCTAAATCTGCCCCTTCTCCCCCACAAATTGAAGAGCAGATGCATCAGTTTAATCACTGCTCAATTTAACCCACTGCCCTTGGGGAAGTGGGAGGTAGCTGAAGTGCTTCCCCTTCTAGGGAGTGTAAATGCTGTGCCCAGCAGCTCAGGTGAATCGGCAATCAGCTGATTGCCTGCCCAGGCAGCTCTGAGTAAACTTGACCTGGGACTGTCCAGGATTAGGGCCAGCAATTGGCTCATTGTTGGTTCCGGTCCCCAGAAGGCTCCGGGTCTGGAGTTGGACTTGGGGCTGTCCAGGCTGGGGCTGACCATCACCTGAATATTGTCCCTGCCTGTGGGGCTGCAGGCACCTGGCTGTTAATTTGCAAGTACAGGGGCTCCTCTGGGCTCCCCCTGCACTGGCAAGTAGTAATGGTATAATTGGGCTCTGATCTCTGATCCCAAAATTGCATAGTCTGCCATGAATGTGTGGCATGACAGGAGGTGCAGTTTTCGAATCAGGATCAGATTCCCATCACACCATTAAATTAACATGTGCACCAGGGTCCCTAACATGCTAATAACCTTGCCAAGGTAGTGTTTGTGTACATCTTTTTCTTGTTAAATTTATAGTTTAATTTCATAGCTCTTATACACAATCATAAAATATTGGTTGCTATGGGAACATGGACTTCTGAAGACCTGGCTTTATTTTTAACTGTACACTTAACATGTACTTTACATTCATGTTTGCTTTTGGAAAGTAAGTTTTGTGTGGCTTGATTAGTTTTTGAAAATCATGCCCTACTATTCAGAATAGGGAAGGGAATGAGTAGAATTTAGGCATTTTCCAAGTCGTCTTAGGATCAAAGAAATTGTGTTTTCAAGTTGGCTGGGTAATATATTTTTAAACCTGACTGTGCAACTAATATTGATAGTTTGAACCCTTTAAAATGTATTAGTTGTTCATAGTTTTCTGCTTGGTGCAGACTTGCTTAAAGATATTAGCCAAGATTGCTAATCGATCATCTCAGAATGAAGTTTCCCCCACTTGTGTCCAGAGAAGAGTGGGTGGTTAACTAAGAAAAACTCACGTGCGGTAATATTTCAACATTTGTCTGTGCTGGGTTCTGATAATTGAAAATTCTATTCTTATGTGTTTTTTAACAAGTAAATATAAAACACTCTT